AAGTAGCCACTTCAGCTCCTGCTGCTGATTCAGTCACTCCCAGTGCCTCCTCCTAGTTTGCTGTGGCCAGTGCTGTGGTGGTGAGTCCTGAGAGCTCTGCTCTCACCCAGGAGCAACCTTCTGAAATTTCCTGACCTTCTAAGTTGTCCTTGGTGTCTGTGGGCTGAGAGGTCTAGAAATTGCCACTGTTGCCAGTGATTCAGTTGCCTCTAGCCAGTTCCAGGTTTAATGGGGTTGGGTCTGCACTGGCTTGGCCTGAATTAGACTTGGCTCTTCTCTCACCCTGGTTCAACAAGCCTTTCCTGCTGACCTTCCAAGTTGTCTTGGGCTGGAAATTTCTTTCATTCCATATTTTTGTGGGTTCTGCTGCTGTAGAATTGGTTTAGAGTAATTTTTTAAAGGTATTTGGAGGGGTTTGGGGAGAGCTCAGGCAAATACCAATCTTCATCTGCAATCTTGGTTTTGTCCACCTTTTGGGTCTTTTTCAGGATGAAGTACTATATATATTTTTATATCTTCTGGTGCAATAGGAGCTGTGGTGAGAGGAAGGCTGGTCAGCTCCTACTCCCTCACCCACATTCCAAATTGGCCAAAGTGTAGGCCCTCGAGTTGAGGCCTATTAAGGTTACCCTCTGGCCATACTATTTTGCCAGCCCTGGCACAGCAGAAACCTGGGGCCAAGAATAAGCAACAGCCTGAGATTTAGGATACTGTTACTACTTAATGTGCTATTTATGCATTCCTTAAGCATTTAACAAGTATAAAAATGTGCTATTTTTATTAGTTTCCTATCTTTTTTATGTGTCAGTGACAAAGTTTTTGAGTGTTGTGGCCCTAACTACATTTTCTCATCAAGCCTTTTGTTTTTATTGCTCAGTTTTGCATATTGAGGTGATTTTTAGGAATACATTCGTAATGTTTAAACAGAATTGATTATTTGCTTTGCAAACACCACAGACAGCAGAAGTCCAAGAAAGGTAAGTAAAGAGCTTCCAAAGAAAGCAAGGGTAACAAATTATTCCAGAAAAATAAAGGAAAAAATAGAAATAAAAAAAGACTGATATAATTAAAAGCAACAATGATAACAGAAGAACAAGAGGAAGAAAAATAATAAATTTCATTCTAAAAGAAGATAAGGATAAAAATAGGACTTAAATAGAAGAAACAATGGTAGAAAAACAGGCCTGAAAGTCTATGGATTAAATCTAGTAACACTTTTTACTTGTGAATCAAATTTTTTTTTTTGCATATGAAGTCATGCAAAACAAACATTCACATTCCCCATGTTGAAATAAAAAAAAGAAGCAAGAAAAAATGAAAAGGCAAAATATTCTTCAATATGCTATATTCCATTGCAGTATATATAGAAGTCCATCATTTCTCTGTTAGGAAGTGGATAGCATTTTTCATCATTTTGGGATTGTTGTGGATCATTGTATTAATCAGAGTAGCTAAGTCATTTACAGCTGATTAACATTACTATATTGCCATCACCATATACATGGTTCTCCTGGTTCTGCTCACTTCACTTTGAATCAGTTCATATAAGTCTTTTTAGGTTTTTCTGAAACAATAGCACTTGTCATTTCTTATAGCATAATAGTGTTGTATCATAATCATATGCCACAACTGATTCAACCATCTTCCAATTGATGGGTATCCCCTCACTTTCCTATTCTTTGCCTTCAGAAAAAGAGCTGCTATAAATATTTTTGTACATATGGGTCCTTTTCCTTTTTCTTTGATCTCTTGGGATATAGACCTAGTACTGTAGTAGTATTGTTGGGTTAAAGGGTGTGCATAGGTTTATAGTCCTTTGGGCATAGTTCCAAATTGTTCTCCAGAATGGTTGGACTAATTAACAGCTCTACCAATTGGCATTAGTGTACCTATTTTCTCACATCTCCTTTGGCATTTGTCATTTTCCCTTTCTGTTATCTCAACCAATTTGATGGGCATGTGGTAGTATCTAAGAGCTGTTTTAATTTGTATTGCCCTAATTATTAGAACAATTTTACTTGACTATTGATATCAATGATTTTTTCTTCTGAAAATTGATTGTTCATATCTTTTGACCATTTATCAATTGAGAAATGACTTATTTTTGTAAATTTGACTCAGTTCTCTACAAATATGAGAAATGAGACTTTTATTAGAGAAACTTGCTGTAAATTTTTCAACCAGCTTCTTACTTTCTTTCTAATTTTAACTGCATGGGTTTTGTTTGTGCAAGTACTTTTTAATTTCATGTAATCAAAATTATCCATGTTTGGTCATGAATTCCTTCCCTATCCATAGTTCTGAAAGATAATTTTTTCCATGCTCCATTAAATTGATTTTGATGTAACCCTTTAAGTCCAAATAATATAATCATTTTGAGTTTGTCTTGGCATATAGTGTGAGATGTTGAACTATGCCTAGTTTCAGCCAGGTTCTATTCTAGTTCTTCCAGCAGTTTTTGTCAAATAGTGAGTTCTTGCCTCAATAGCTGAGATCTTTGGATTTATCAAACACTAGGTTTCTGTGCTCATTTACTCCTGTATATAGTGTGCCTAATCTATTCCATTTGATTGCATGAAATTGAAAAGCTTCTAAGGGAAGCTTACAAACAAGTGAATGAATCCAGGTTAAGATGAGAAGTGGTTGACTGGGATAACTCTTTTTATTGAATTTCTGAGATGAGTGTTTTGTGTCTAAGACACATAGACAAATAACAGATATGATTATCTGGGGTATCCATTGTCTCCCAAGGCAGCTCATTCCACTTTTGGATGGTTAGAATTGTTAGAAAGTTTTTTGTCAAATCCAGTCAAAATCTGCTTCCTTTAAACATCTATTTTTCCAAATTCAACCCTCTCCCATACCAGATCCCTTCAAGTATATGAAGATTATTTTTATATTATCATTAGTCTTTTCTTCAGGCTAAACATGGCAGTTCTTTAAGCCGATTCTTGTATGTCATATTTTTGTGTCTCTTCACCATCTTGGCAGTCTTCTTCTGGTGCTATAGCCTATCACAGTTAGGTAGCACTCAGAACTGAACACGCTAATCCAGATGACATTTGACTAGGGCATGTCAGAACATGACTATAATCTCTCTTATTCTTGAAATTATGACTATTATAGAAAAGAGCCTAGAATTGTATTAATTTTTTAAGGAAGGTCACAATCTTGCCTTATGTTGAATTGGAAAGTGCATAGAGTAACTGATTCTTTTTCACATGAACTATTGTACAAAATTTCTCACCTTCTCTGATGAAGCTGACTTTTTCGATTCAAGTATATTCCCTTAGTATGGCCCATCATTCTGAGCAGTTTGGATCCTTTGGGATCCTAAACTATTCTTTGTGTTAGGAAACCGCCCAAGCTTCATGTCATTTACAAACGTGATAAGCTACTTTTGACGTCCAGTTATTGTGTGAATATTGAAAATTATCACGGAACCCATTTTGATCAGAAGGATAACCTAGGAAACTTTGACACATGTTTGGCTGAAATAGAAGTTCCCAATGTTTACATCATTTGGCTGATTTACCTACCATTCTAGCAAGTCTGAAAAAAATCCAGGAAAATATTGTGCTAGAGCCAATTGTTGACCATAGAGAGAAAAGGAGCAGTCGGCAGGGGTCATTTACTGAAGTCTTTAGGGATTTCATGCTTCAAAAACCACTTCAAACATGGGGGCTTTCCTTATCTGACTAGCATTTAATGCTTTCCCTGCCTCTTAAATTACCTCTTAGTTATTTCATATATGTATATGTATATATATATATATATATACACACATACATATACCCATACATGATGTTTCCTTAATTGAATGGAAGAACATTGAGGATGGGAACTGTATTGGTTTTGTTTAATGGCTAACACAATGGCTGGCACTAAGTAGGCACTTAATGTTTATTGATGGGTATTTCACAGTAAAATTATGAATAGATAGGGTAACTGATCAGTAGTCAGTTATATTTGCAGAAAAAATATGGTTTCTTAGGAAACTTCATATAAGTGGTTACTGAGTGACCTGCAAAAAATGATGTATTACTTTTAAAGAAGTTAAACATACATGATTCAATGTCCCAGATAACTTCACTTTGACAAGCAAAACTTAGCCCAAATTCTAGACTGCCAGTTTTTCTTTGACCAACAAAATCAGTCCAAACAACCTGGGTTAAATCAAGGTCTCAGACAGTAGGAGACCTGGACTTTGGCTCTAGTTCTTTCATTCTTTGTGATGCCTGAGAAGTCATTTAGCTTTTTTGTGTCTCCATAATGGGGATCATGATATATAATTTGTTGACTTCACAGATCTGTTGTGAAAGTGTTGGGAGGTAAGAGCCGTTTCTAATTGAGATAAGGAGAACCTTGTTCAAGTGGAATGAGTAGAAGAACTGACATTCAAACCCAGATTTTCAGACTGTTGCTTTGTCTAGTGTGTATGTGTGTGTGTGTGTGTGTGTGTGTGTGTGTGTGTGTTAACTACATCATGGAGACAGAACTAGAGGGAGGCCTTCAATGCACATGAAAAACTTTATAAAATGTGCCAGCAAAAATGAGGGGGTGGGATGGGGTGAGGTTGGATTGAAGCCACTGATTTTCTCTTTGTTGCTCAAAGAATCTTTGAATTACTTCCTATTCTGATAACCATCTCCTTCCCAACAGTAAATGCATCAATTCTTAGAACTGATGGAGGATGCAAAAGTTCAAAAATTAGGCCTAATTGATTATTTGGATGACTTATAATGAGTAGTCATTCAACATGAAGAAAGACATAGGACTTCCAAAAACAATAGTATGTTATTTCACCTTTCCCTTACCCCCCCCCCAGTTCCCTGTTGTAAGACTTACTGTAGCACTGTGCAAAAAAGATAACAGTTTTCAATGCCACATTGATCTCAGGATATATTTATAGAGAAAGATGTTAGGAGAGGGATACAGATCTTCCAACCAGCTTCATTGAGTGAGTGACTGAAGGTAAAGACCTGTGAACATCTGAGAAGATGAAGGTCCTTTTCCTCATCATAGCACTAAGCCTGTTCTCTATTCTCCAAGCTGAGGAGTCATCCCCTTCTAAAGAACGATTTGAGGTGAGACTTCATTGGGAAATCTTGTAGATTAGAAGGAGCAATGTATGCTAGCAAAAGGCTGTCATTTCAAAATTTAGGCCCCACTGGGCTGTTTTTAACCTGAGTCTATAGCCCTGTAACCTTCTCATCCTGCAATGTACTGCAATTTTAGTGCTATGGATTCCATTAGAAAATCTCGGATTGAGTCTATGGGGGAAAGTCAGTGCAGGAAGTAGATTCCAAGTCAAGAATTTGATTATTCTCTTGCCTTAATTGACTCTGCCCAGAATGAACTGGAAATGGGGGATATGATTCAGTTAATTTTATCCTTGATAATGATCATTCAGAGCAAGTAATGTTCCCGAGTGGAGTTGGATCTCCAAGGATTCAGTTACTTTCTTCATGGATTCAGTTTGGGATTTCAGTGCCAAATGTCTGCTTCCATTTGGGCCCTGTCAAAATTGGGCTAGCTTTATAGATTTGGATTCTCAAGGCTAGTTCACTTCCACTGAATTGCTTCTTTCTACAAAACTGTACTTTTTGTATGTTGCCACCAGATTCATGGTGGTCCCTGGGTAACTGGCTCATGCATGATTTTTGCCACAGAGTTGAGATTCTGTTCTGAGAGTGTGATGAAGATCCAGATCATTAGGAGATGTTTATGAGGGGTTCATCCCATTATGCCCTCCATTTTCCTCCTTCAAGTTCTAGCTACATATCACAATTCCCTCTAGGGTACATACTTTATAAAGGCCATGGTGACAGACAATGAATTTCATGGGAAGAAGAAGCCTAAGGAGGTAACAGTTGTGACAGTCACTCACCTTAGTGATGGTGATCTGGAGGCCAATTTTACCTCCAAGTAAGTAGACTGCCCATAATTGTCCTATCAGCTTGCTTCATCTTTATCTCTCCTACTTTAGGGCCATGGCTAAAGTTTATTACTTGCTGTGCTCTGCATATCTAATCTGATCACACACAATATACATACTGTGTTAGAGTTAAGGTTAGAGTCTCAGAAGGATTAGGTAAAAGTTACTGTTAAAGTATGTACTTACACACATACATACCTGTATATATGTACATATACACATGTACAAACATATATGTATATGAAGTTTAGGTTTACTTTCCCAGCAATGGGTGAAATGCTTATAGTGTACTCATTGACTTATTTTTTTCTGGTTCATAGTTTATCTGCTAGTCCCCACATGGCTTCAGGCCTCCTCTAAACTTTCCTTATTTTCCTGTGGAAGCCTTTATTCCATGTAGTTCATGACACAAGTTATCCTATGTTATATACTGTAGCCTACTCATATGATGCATCTCTCTTCATGTACTTTGGTGTCACCTGGGTTTGGATTTCTTAGAGATCATGGTATTCCTTGATCTCCAGCTGTATAAATTAACCCAGAAAATCTTCAGTATTCAAAAGATGGATGCTAAGTCACAAGATTCTTTTCTATGAGTGAGAATAATCAGATCACAGGCTGTAATGCTAATCTGTTTCTGGTCATTCTCCTGTGCTTGCCACATTGAGAACTGGGTCAGTAGTGAAGTTATCAAAACACCTTTCCTGATTTCAATGACATATAAACTTCTCTTCCTCTCATTGTCTCCAGCATTCACATGCATTCTGTTTTCCAGCAAGAATGGAATATGTGAAGGATTAAATTGAAATTAGAGAAAACAAACAAGCCTGGGCTATTTTCTTTGGTTAAGTGAATCAAACATTCCATACTAAAGGTATTCCAGCCAGGGATCTAGCCTCCTTAGAGGTGGTCTGTCAGGCCCAAGCAAAGATCGGGCCTTGAGACTTTCCTTTATTCTTATAGTCCAACGGCTGGATTTTCTTGACAATATCTAGTGAATTTGCATGTTTTTTCCATGGCATGGACTGAATGGGTGAGTGGGTTTGTCTGCATATGTGACTGACTAAATACCTGGATGTGAGGGTTTGAAGTAGCAAATTCAGGTTAAGCATCTACTCTTATGATTTGCTATTGGAAATCACAAGAACACTTCTTTAACTTTTCCCCAGCAATAGATACTTTAATGGGCAAAAGTTTTATCTTGAGTGCTATTCTTGAGATTCATAAGTCATCTAGAAAAACATGTGGCACAATAGGGTTCATGAAAATATTGATATGATGACCCTCCAGAATGTTTCTTGGGGGAAGGGCGAGACATGCAAAGATGGGGCACTGCAGCAGTTACTTGCTTGCGTTCTTGGTATTAGAGACCTATAGAAAAGGGACATATGCAAAAAACAAGCCATCTGCATCATTATTTTTCAAAATAGACTTTTCCACTTATATATTGGGAAGAACTGAATCTGAGTCATTTCCCAGAGCCAAGACACTGACATTATGCTCATGCTGCCCTCATTCAACAAACATTTATTAACCAATTTCAGTGTTTAGAGCACTGTGCTACTTGTTGAGGGAGAGACAAAATTCAAGTTCAATGTGATTCTTGCCAAAGGTACAAATACAGACAGCCATTTATTCTTGCTTTCTTTGTCACTTTGGACCTGACTTATGATTTCATTGGTATCAGGAACTTCCAGTAAGGAAACTTCCTCTATCAAGACAGATCAGCTCCTATTCTTCAAGTTACAGTCTCTGAGAGTTTCTTCAGTATATTGAGAATTAAATGACTTGCTCATGGTAACTTTGGTAGTATATGTCAGAGGTGAGACTTGAACTTAGGACCAATAAACTCCAAGCTTGTTTCTCTGTTCATTATAACATACTATCCCTCTAAAGTAGGACAAATTAATTACTTTCTTGGCCTCAGTTTCCTCATCTGTAAAATTTGGAGTTAAACTATTTTTTTTAGGTTTCTTGAAACTCTTATACCTTTAGTCCTAGGTTTCTTTAATATACAGTATTACATGATAAGTGCATTAGAAAGGTACCATATCAGATCCAAGGGGAAGTTATCTTGCTCATGGGGGACCCAACTCTTTTTCTTGATTCTTGGATGTTGCTGCTCATTAGGTCTGGGGTCCTTCCTGGCACAGTGAGATCTTAAGCCCGCTGTAGTCTCCTCCCAACAGATTTTCCAAGAGGATTAGGGATGCTAAAGATATATCTCCTCACCATCTCCACAGATGAGGGCAAACGCCAGGTACTCATACAAAAGACATCTGTGAAAGATCACTGGATTCTCCTCTGTGAAACCGAGTTATCTGACAAGCGAATAAAAAGGGTCAAACTTCTGGGTAAGTAACAAGGGAAGAATGTTAGGTTATGGAGCAGGTGTTAGAAACTGCTCACCTGGATTCCTGTTACTTTTCAGACATTCCCAGATCTGGCATCTCTAGAAGCAGCAGGAGAAGATCCGTTTTGATATAAACCAAAGCCCAATAAAATATCCAGTGGATTCCATGAAATCCTTCAAAATTTTTGCTGTTTGGAGGTTTGATGGCAACAAAGGCATTGCTTACCAATCACATTCCCAAGCTGCCAATACTGACTGAACTGCTCTTTAATGAGCCTGTAGAAGGCAAAATGATGCTTTGAACAAAGCAGCAGGAGGAAGAAGATAGGGTGTCTTCATATTTTCTCTCTTTCTTCCATCCTGCTTCTGGGGGCATTAGAGCTATTTTGTTTTAATGCATGATTGGGAGATGTAGGTGGGTTTTCTGTAGAGAGGTAGGTTTGGGAAGTGCTTAATGTGGGGGAGAAGGGCATTTATTGCCAGAAGATAAGAGGGCTGAACTGATTACCCACACTTAGTTCTCTCATCTCCTTTTGTGCTGGCAGTTTAACTAACTGTGGGGCAAAACCCAAGGACTTTCACTAGGAGGTGACTACTGTAGAAACAGGGACCAGAGAAGGATTGAGTCAAAATGAACAGTGATTTATTCTGCCCTCTCTCTTCGGGTCCAGATGCAGAAGAGAACCCACAAGGCTTTGAGGAGTATAAGAAGTTTGTCAGCCTTAAAGGATTTAATGAAACAAAGATCAGCATACCCACACAAGCTGGTAATTAGAATGGAATTGGCTCCACTTTGCTGTGCCCTGTTCCTCTATCCCCTGAACCCTAAACCCTTCCTTTCCCTTCTTTTCTTGTTCTTCCCTTCCCTTCAATGCTGTTAATCATAATTTCTTAGGAGATCTTGTATAATTGTTTGAACTCTAAGTAGGAAGTAATTTTGGCAAATTGACTCACATATGTCTTTGTTTCTACAGAAACTTGCACCCCTGAACATGATTAAGGTACATATTCTTCAAAGATTTCTAAATACTCTTCAAGAATAATCTAAATTCCTGCAGTTCACTTTGGATTTAAGCATCTACTTGGTCCAGTTCAACTACGGGAAGGTGAACACCCAAATCGTGTCAGAGGGATCACCTTGTTTTACCTATCTCAGATAGATTTCAGCCTCCTTTGGATTTATGTCTAATTTTTTTGTCTTCCTGTATATAGGAAATGTTTTAGTATGTTTCCATTTATCGCCAGGTGCTTCATTTTGAGAATATTGCCTCTTGTTTGGTTCTTAGGGGAAGGAGAGAACGACTGGCTAAAATGTGAGGAGTGATAATTGTGGAGTCAGTAGTTTCAACTCCCTGTTTGACCCTGACAAAGTTCCTTAACCTTTCTGGCCCCAGGTTCCTCTTATGTAAAATGAGTGAGGTTGAATTATATCACTTTTATTATCTCTTAAAGTTTTAAATCTAGAATCTTATAATAATAATAATAATAATAATAACGATTTAATGTATTTGAAGGTATTTTATTCTTCCCCTCCAAGTTTCTCCAAGGTATGTCTTATACTCTCTCAAATACATGATTCAGTTGGACAAAAAGTTTATTGGCACACAAGGTTTCAGGAGTATTGAAACCACCCTGTCCATGGCTTTGCACATGGTAGGTTCTTACTCAGCAGTGGCCTCTCCCTTTCTGAGTTTAAAGGGTTCTAGATTTAGAACTTTTCTTCTAGTTCAGCCTGCTTATTTTTCAGTTGTTGTAAATGAAGCCTAGAGAGATCACACAAATGATCTCTTTAGGAGCAGTGAAGACCAAGTGGGAAACCATTCCCTCTGACTCCAAATCCTCTGCTCTTTATCATCTATAATGGTGCCTTTTTCTGAACCTCTGGCACTGTGGGCAAAGTTCTGCTAGTTCATTGGAAACTGTCACTTCCATTCGTCTGTGCAATCCAAGGGACTTATCACTGCCTCTCCCTTTGATCTTTTCTAGGAGAAGATGATTCTCTTCAACCTCAGAATCAATGCTGTTCAGGAAATCCCAGTCTAATCCTTTATCTATAAGCTGTTCCCAGTGCCTGTTGCTGCATAAACTTCTCCCTTTGACCCTTAACCTCTTCCCTCAACTTTTAGCATTTTCTTCAAAGCAAAATAAATGTATAAAACAATCATTCTTGGCTCAGTCTCCCTCTGTTTTTAAAATTTTCTTGGAGACAATGAATGAGAAGTGGGTGATAAGTAAATCAGGTATGCTTGACTGGAAGTCTATGGGCCTTGGATTTCCAAAAGTTGAGACAACTTATGTTTTCTATATCGTGCAGTCAAACATTCCATATATGCAATACTCAAATAGCTGCCTGAAAAATGAAAGTATAATCCATCTTTTCTTCATAATGTTGAGCATAGCAGTAATTATAGCAATTGACTTTATGTTTCATGGCTCCAAGGCTGAGCACTTGAAACTCTTAGCAATGGAGAATCAGCTAAGTTTCACAACAAATTTATAACAATAATTATTCCAAATAATAAGTCAGGAGGATGTGTTTCTTCCTTATCTCCTTGTTTCTCTGTCTCCTTCATCTCTTTTTAGGAGAGCTTCGAATAGCTCTCCATGGGCCATCTTCTTATTCTCAACTGAATTTTATTTTGTATTTCATACTGTTTTCTCCTGGGAATGTGTTGTATTGCTCATTCTTAGTGCAAAAATTGCTAGTTTTCTCTTTCCTAGCAACTCTTCCTCCCCTCCTCCTATCAAAAAGTGTCTTGCTTTTCTTTGAGGCAGCTCAATTTTGTAATAAATAGATTAATTCACTTACAGCTTCCCCTTCCTTATGGTCTTTTTCCAGTCCTCATTCCTCTTGAACTCTCTGTAGCTGTTGACACTATTCATCACCATCTTCTTCTGCTTCTCCTCCTACCTATTCAACTATTCCTTTTCAGTCTTTGCTGGATCTTCATCCATGTCATGCCACTTTACTTAAGTATACCAAAGGCTCTGTCCTAGCCTATTTTCTCTATTACCTCTACATTACTTCTCTTGATAATATCATTAGCTCCTATGTGTTGGATGATCTCAATCCAGGCTTGTGAGCCTGAGTGACAGGGAGAATTGTAGTGCCCTTGACAGAAATTGGGAAATTTTGAAGGTGGGGAAGGGAAGAGTAGTGCCATGAAAACCTAGAGAGAAAAGAGCATCAAGGAGAAAAATTGCTATCTTTAGATAGAGCAATTTTAATTGAATAATGAGGTTGGAAAGAAGACTTTAGACAATTAAGAGGAGATGAATAGGAAAGGAAGTGGAGGCACCTGTAGTAGATATATTTTATTAGGATTTGCATAATAAAAGGAAGGAATGATATGTGATGATACCTATAGGGATGGGTGGGTCAAGTAACATTTTTTTGGTGGATGAGGCAAACGGACACATTTGTAGGCAACGGGAAGCAGACAGTAGTAGACCAAGAGAATGATGTCAAAGATTGGGTATGATAGAGAAGGACAATACGCTGAAGGAGATGTGATACAATGGGATCACTCATGCACATAGAAGGATTTTCTTTGACAAGGAGAAAGGTCATCTATTCATGTGGAATAGGAATGAAGAAGAAAATCATGGTAGAAGGCATGTTTGTGATGAGGAGTGAGAAGAGGTAGTGCTTGGTGAATAGTCTCAATTTTTCAGTAAAATATAAGACAAAGTTCTCAGCTGAGAGTGTGGGATAAGGTGGGAATAAGATCTGAAGAGTGATGGAAACATTTGAAAGGGGCAAGAATCGTTGTGGGGAGTAGATTAGTGAGTTAGTTAGGAAGGTGTAAAAGTATTGCTTGCTGTAGCAAAGGCACAAATGAGCATATATAGTATATATTTGTAATGGACCCAGTCAGCACAATTTCATGCTTTTCTCCAGCTTATTTCAGAAACACAAATATAGGAATGAAGGCAACAGATGTTGGGAGTTATTAAAAGCAGATGCTTGTCAGGGCAAGATAGGCAACATCAGTGTAGAATTGGAATGGTTCACCAAGGAATCAAAATGAGGAAGGGAGGAGAATATAGGTGATGCAAAGGTGATGGCCTGGGAAAAAAACAAGGGGTAGAGGAATTGGAGGTCTTGGTAAAGATGAAGAACAGTGGTAGGGTTTTAAAGGCAGAGATGGGATAACAAGAGATGATCCTCAGATAAGGGGATTTAAGAATTCATAAACGTGGAAGTAGTGCATTTGTAGGTGATGGCACAATTAAGGTTATGGCCTTCTTTGTGTGTGTCTGTGATGGAATAGAGCACTAGGTTATGTGAAATGAACCAAATTGAGGGACTGTGAGATTAGGCTGTTTCATGCAATATCAATACGTATATTAAAGTCCCACAGTACAAAGGCAGGAGATGAGAAAGAAAGATTGTGGGTCAAGCACTGAAATTATTGAGGAGAGTGTCTTGAGGAGAGTATATTGGATATTAGTAGATAATAACTAACAAAAGATTGATTTAGTGGGAAATATGGATTGAGTGAAACTGAAAGGAAGAGAAGTTTCTTTATGACAGAGGTACAGGAAAAGTCTTGAAACAGCAATGGGGAGCAAGCATTATTCCAACTCCCCCACCAGAATCAGTGAGTTAGAGGGTATGAGCAGAAGTGCAAATGGTACTGCCATTGTAACATTGTCTTTAAAATCTTGTTCTTATTGTATAAATTGTTCTCCTGACTCTGTCCATACCTCTGCATCATTCCATACAAGCCTTCCCAGGTTCCATAAAACCTTTACCTTCATCTGTTGCTCAGCAGAATGGTGTTTTTCCTTTTCTAGCAGAAGGCAGGAGACCATTTAATGGAATGGTGTCCTCTCTCCTTACCCCAAAGGTGGGAAACTGGTGAGTGATATGCTGGTATTTCTCCCATTCCCCTAGGAGGCTGGAAACCAGGAAAGAGATGTGGTGTGATAGAACAAATCCCTCTCCCCTCACCAAAAAGGCAGAAAAATGGGACTATGGAATGACATTCCTCTTTCTGCAAAAGGCTTGTTGACCAGGCAAGAAACATGGTATGATGAAACGTAGTTTCTTTTCTTCTCCATGGAGGCTAAAGACCAGTGCAATGGATTAGAACCATTTCCCCTTACCAGAAATTAAAGACAGTAGTGTGGTGGAATGATATTTTATCCCCTTTCCTCAAAGGCAAGGAAGGAGACTTGTTTATGATGAAATATCCTTCCTCCTCTTCTTGTGGGAGGCTGGAGAACTGCCATGATACTTAAAGTTATGCAATAGCACCTTCTCCCTTTACCAGAAAGGAAGGAGACCAGGTCAATGGAACCATGTTTCTCCTTTAAAGGTCATACAATTATCCTAATGTACCTTTGGCCATAGCATGTTTAGACCTCATGGGTTCCTTACACCTTGTTGAGCAGACACTTTGATTAGGCTCCTAATTTCTAATTTTCCCATTTTCTGGTTTGACTTCTTCCCTTTAACCTACCAAACTCTGAAACTGATCTTCCCATCTCTATTAATACCCTTCTTTTTGTTTTTTCGGCCTTCTCTTTTTCTGGTCATTGGTTCTACTAAGAAAAGCGTCTGCCTATGTTCTTTTTGTCCCATCTAAATCCTTGTATGAAGAGCTCTTGAACTGCCCTCTTTTGTTGGTGCCTTAGCATTGGTGTAATGGAGGAGATAGATGATGGCATTTCAAGAAGGTAGATCAACAAAAGTAGAGATTAAATTCGAGGCAGTTTATTTGAAGAACATTCTTGTGATCATTCTGAATAGATAAGTGGAAGCAGTAGAGGTCCAAGTAGAGCAAATAAATTTATTTCATGGAAAAGACTTAGGATTTTTAGTTGACTACAAATTCATAATGAATTATCAATTCAAGATAGCTTCTAAAGAACACTGCATGACCTTTAAAATTTCAGATGATCTGTAATCTCTTAGATTTGGGTTTTCTCTCTAATTTTTGCCTATTACAAACCATCGAGGGTAGCTAGGTAGTGCAGTAGATAGAGTGCCAG